TGAGGGTTATTCTAGCAGGTTCCCAGGTGGGAAGCCTCCCCTGTGTCCGGCTCCTCTACTCTGAATCTACCCTCACTTTCTCTGGCTTCTTTGAAATGAATTTGATGTAGGGTCTCGCTGAATTGCTTAGAGCCTTGCTTTTGCTGAGGCTGGCTTTGAACTCGAGATCCTCCTGCCTCAGCCACCTGAGCTGCTGGGGTTACAGGCGTGTGCCACTGTGCCTGGTGCTTAACAGCCTTTAATGAAATAGCTCCCCATGATTCAGGACAAACTCAAGCTCCAATGGCATTCCAGAGCCCTCCATGTCCCAGATTTTACCTGTCTAACCCGTCATCACTACTTCTGCAGAGCTCCTGGGAACACTGGACTGATGGACAGCACAAAAGTTTCTTTGCTTTCTCTACTCTCTCTGCAACTTTGTCTCTTCTGCACAAAAACATCTTTCTCCTTTCTATACTGTATACCCTGTGATCATACAATTAAAAAAAAAAACTCTAAACATAAACGTATTCATGTATACCAACATACATGTCGTTTGTTTTGAAAAACATCAGTTTGGGGCTGGGGTGTAGCTCAGGCGTAGAGAATGTACTTAGCACATGTGAGGCCCTGGGTTTGATCCCCAGTATCAAACAACAACAACGACAACAAAATAAATAAAAATAAATCCCCCTCAGTTTTAATGGCTACCCAACAATCTGTTATTTGGACTTAATATAACTTAACAATGTTCTTAATATTGCACATTTAGATTATTCCCAATTTTTACTGAAATATAAAAATTGTAACTAACATTCTTTTTTTTTTTTTCTCTTCTTTTGTGGTACTGGTGATGTAACCCAGGGCCTTGCACATGATAGGCAGGTGCTCTACCACTAACCTACATTCCCAGACCCACAACAACCATTCTTAATATTAAGTCTTTGTCTTCATATCAAAGTATTTCCTTAGAAATATTTCTATTAGTGAAACTACTATATTAAAAGATGAATGGTGGTGGAAAACACTCATTACATTTTATTAAATTAACATCAACTTTCTAAAGAGCAATTTACCCTTCCGCCCACGGCATATAAAAATATCTCAATATACATCTCCTCATCAGCACTGGCTATTATCTTTTCAAAAGATTGTAGCTGATTTGCAAAGATTTGATTATTTGTGAAGTATGTTTAATATCTGTGTGTGTGTGTGTGTGTGTGTGTGTATACAAGCACACGCACACAGTTATTGGCCACTTAGAAAACCTCCCCCTGTGGATTTTCTGAGTTCCTTCTCATTTTTTTTTTGCGATGATCATGGTTTTCTTAACTTGTAAGTTCTCTTACATATTAAGAATTTGCTATGGGGGAGCTGGGGTTGTGGCTCAGTGGTAGAGYGCTCGCCTAGCATGCGTGAGGCCTTGGGTTCGATCCTCAGCACCACATAAAAATAAATAAACAAAAAAAAGATACTGTGTCTAACCAAAAAAAAAAAGAATTTGCTAGGGTATTTTAATTAAGAAGTTCATAGCTACTACCACAGTTGAATTATTAATAGCTTGTTATCGTCACTAGGTTTTGTCATCAGGGTTATGAGTACATCATAAATGAATTGGGTGGTTTTCTATCTTTCCTTTTTTTCCTTTTATTTCTTTTATCTTTTCTTCCTTTTTTTTTTTTTTTTCTTTTTTGTGGTGGTGCTGGGGACTAAACCCAGGGCCTTGTACTAGGACTCCACCACTGAGCGACATCACCTGCCTTTTTAAGACACAGTCTCGCTGAGTTGCCTAGCCTGCCCTTGAACTTTCAATCCTCTTGCCTCAGGCTCCCCAGTAATGGGGATGACAGGTGTGTACCACTATGCCCTACAAAATCTCAATCTTAATAGTTTAGTTTAACAGATTTTAGAATATATATTTTCATTTGTGGGAGGCAGATATTCAAGTGAAAGAGTACTCTTTTCTCTGAAATTTGCCTTCTCTTCTCTAGAGCCACTGATTCTATTCTAGTTCTATCTGATGGTTTCTCTTTGGAAAACTCAGTGAATTCAGAATTGGCCCAGCAGGRTGGCACATACTTGTAATCCCAGTGACTCAGGAGGCTGAAGCAGAAAGATTGTTAAATTCAAGGCCCATCTCAGCAATTTAGCAAGACCCTCAACAACTAAGAAAGACSCTGTGTCAAAATAAAAAATAAAAGGGGCTAGGGATGTGGCTCAGTGGCAAAGCACCCATGGGTTCAATCCCCAGAATCAAAAAATAAATAAATAAAATAAAAAATAAATCCAGAATCAGTGTCCCATCCTTTAGTCTCTGCTATTCCATTCCTCCTTAAAGCCACTGAAATAGCCACCTTTTATTTAACAGATCTCAATGCTTTCACACTGCTTAAGGAATTTCAAGCAAACATTTTCTTGATGATATTTATAGCTGGTCACAATCTCTCCCGCAGCTTTCTAAGCTCCTCTCTATAACTTCTACTGCCACCCGTGCCTGCCATCACCTCCTGCCTGATGCCTGAGCTGCTCCCAGCTACCATCCATTTATGAATTCCACCACATCCTTCTTTTGCTTAGTGATGTTACCTTCCTTCCCCACTGCCATCATTTCTTWTTCGACATTTTTGCTACTTTACATTCCAAACTTAGACCAGGGTCTAAAGCAGGTCTCCTCATGTTTCTAAAMTTTACCCCTCTATCAAGTTGAGTCTGGCCTACACTTGAAGGGGACTCTCATGGCTGACTCTTATGGCCTTTTAGAACTGATAAGATGTGAGTTCCAAGAAAAGACAATGTTCAGTATCAGCCAGTGTGGGAATGGTCACAAGAACACCCAAACTTCTATTGAAGGCATGCCTTTAAGGTTTTTTTTTCCCAAAAAAATKACCAGGTAATWCTCTCTTGGAGTGCAATGCACAGAAYACCTGATAGCTATTAATAGTCTCCTGTGCTTTCAGTTAAATAATGACTGATACATAATACAGTATTTGATTGAAATTCCTTAAGCAGTGTGATACATAATACAGTGTGTCTTGTATGGGCTACCAAAGAACTCAGGATGCCATTTCTTCCAGGTCTAGCTTTTATGAYGTGTCAATTAGCTTTGTGACTTAAACTATTCAAGCCTGAGTCTTTTCATTTAAAAAACSAAGGTAACACCAACTTTGCAGAATGCATTTGAGGAACCAAGTATGTTGTTGGGCAAATCTGTTGGATAAACGTGCAATGACTGGCTTCCATGTGTAAGATTCTGCATTTGGTGCTAAGGGGAGTAATGAACCAGGTCCCTGCCCACATGGAATTCATATTCTAAAGGGAAAGCCAGAGGACCCTTAAGTAGCAATCTGCAGCCAGGTGCAGAGATGCATGCCTRTAATCCCACCAGCTCAGGAGGCTGAGGCCRGAGGATCGTGAGTTCAAAGCCCRTCTCAGCAACTTAGTGAGGTCCTAAGCAACTCAGCAAGACCCTGTTTCTAATGAAAATATTAAAAAGAGCTGGGGATGTGGCTCAGTGGTTAAGCTCCCCTAGGCTCAATCCTTGATGCCAGGGGAAAAAAAACAACAACAAAAAAAGTAGCCATCTGCAAACGAAGTGGTGAGTGTCAYGGAGCCAAGAAGGAAGTGACGTGGAGGGCCATGGTGCAAGAGGTGGCCTGCCTCGGCTATAGCCACATTAAGAAGACACAAACAGCATTCCAGGCAGAAGGAACAGGACAGTCAGTTCTGCAGGTAAGAAACCATTTGGCAAGCCCTAGGAGCCCAGGGAAGCTACGGCACAGTGGGCAGAGAAAAGTGACGTGACATGATGTCATCAAACAGTACTGTGGCTGGTAATTATGACCTGCCTCTAACAACCCCTTGCTTGCCTTAGTGATTGTATTACACAKGGGCTTTTTATTATAAGCAGTTAAGTACTTTAAAAGTGACCAATATATAATGAAAAAAGTGAACAAAGTCATTGATTAGAAATTGTAGTAGGGGTGTAGTTCAGTGGTTGGGCACATGATGAGCATGTCCAGGCCTTTGATTCAATAACATATATATATATTTATTATTATTATAATTTTGGGAGCATGGTGCTCKGAATTGAATCCAGGGCCTGCTTATGCTAGGCAAGCCCTCTACCACTCAGCTACACCCCCAGCCCAAGAAAGAATTTTAATAGCTACCTTTATTGAGAGTTTACCACATGCTCCATATGATTCAAACATTTCATTTTTCCTGTGTCCTATATGGTAAATATTATTATTATTTCCTTTTGACACAAGAGGAAATGAGACACAGAGAGTTTAATAAAGTTGCCAAAGCTGACTCAGGGATTATGATTAGGAACAGGACTTGAATTAGGCCAGCAGACCCCAAAGCCAGTGCTCTTGGCCATGACACCATGCTGTCTCTTCAGGTTACAGAACATACTATAGTCAATCAGTTATCTGATGACACACAAGTGACACTTGTTCTTGCTAATAGGAAAACATATTGGCAATTCATAATCCATGATCTATYACTTCTAATCCATGATMTATTACTTCTAATCCTAATYTATGATTCATAGCCTCAAATTCTACTTATAGCCTCAAATTCTGTTTATTATTAAGGAATGGGGCGTAAGGGAATACAGGAAAAATTTCCATCCCAAGAAAAATAAACAGCTCTAATTAATTAACATCTTAATAATCACTCTCAATTTGCAGAATGTATCCATTATTAAATCTTTACCCATAATTTATGACACAGATGTTGATGTGGGACAAGTTATGCCCAGCTTGCAAACAGGTACTGACTTGCTCTCCTGAGGATACCAACAGTAGGGGCTAAGCAGACACAATCAAAATGGATCTTATCATTTAAATAATTCTGATCAGAGAAAGTGAGCAGGCCAACATATCCGAGTGCTGCAAAAACCAACCAACCAACCAACCCTCACTTTCCAGGTGGAGTTTTTTAACCTATCATCTCTGATGAGCCCAAGGTCAAAGCCATAAGGCTCCTGGGCAGTGTCCACCATCCCCTTCACTTACATTCCCATCGTGGTTTGGGCAAGAAAGAGGCTTTCCCGCAGCCACAGCGGTGACGGTCTCCAGGATGGAAGACTCCTCTATGTTGCTGCCTGGCGTCCGCTGCAGCACGTCCATCAGGTTTGTGATGAAGAAGTTGTTCTGAAGCGCGGCCACCCCTTTCTCGGGCAGGATGGAGGTCTGGCGGCACACTGGGCAGGASAGGGTTAAACTGTGGGCGGGAATGTAGTTCTGCAGGCACCTGTTGCAGAGGAAGACAGGAGGACAGTCAGCAGGGAGCAGCCCAAGGGATGGATGCACCACTTCCTGCACATTCCCTCCATGTTCTCAGCAATTATATAGACCACGTTGCAGAAATCCCTTCCAGAGTCCTTAACTAGGGAAATGATATTCCAGAAACCAAGAGCTAACCTGTTCTCACAGTGGTCCTGTCAAGCTGTGCTCATGGAAAGAAAAGCGTCACTGACTTCTATAGTGTTTTCTAGAGTCTTGGCACACAGGTGTGGTTCAGGGTGAGCCGCCTACGCCTCCCAGGGAACTGGGTAGAAATCCAGAATCTCGGRCCCCGTCCAGACTACTGGATTCCAATGTGTGATTCACACACACATTCAAATTTGAGAAGCAATGGTCTACAATAGTTAGCACAGAGCTTCCAAACGTGTGGACGTGGAAACATGTCCAACATTTTTGTTAACGCTGAATTCATTATAGAGACCATAATCAGATACTAAAAACACATGAGAGGGGAAATGTTTGGGTGAAGCAGAATGGGACACCCAGACTGAGTCAGACCATCTCTTCTCCTTCCTCCCCTTTAACAGGCATCAACTAAATTAATTTAATTAAAGAAATAAATCACTAATGATGACCACCATATTTATTCAAAGTACTTCCAAAGAACTCCCAAAGGAAATTCTATTATGATCACCTTAGACAAATGAGGACACACAGGCAGAGAAAGACTAAGGTGATCTGCCCAAGGTTAAGTGCAGAACAGGATTCAGAACCCAGGCAGTTTGCCACCATAATCCAAGCTCTAAACAACCAGACTTGGGGCTGAGGGTGTAGCTCAGTGGTAGCACTTGTCTAGCACGTGCAAAGCCCTGGGTTCAATCCCCAATGCTGCAAAAATAAAGCACAAACAACAACAAAGACTATTTAATGTTTTCCTGCTGCTTAGCCAAATGGAATTCGAAAACCCCTGAATTGGTCCCACTCTCCTGGTTTTTCAGAAGGAAAAACTGACATTGAGGAAGGTTGATTGATCTTCTCTGTATCACAGAGATAGCTAGTACTGAATCAATATCAGAAATGAAACAGTTTTCCTTAAGGTCACAAATGAAACCTAAACCCCACAGACGTCTTTCAACCCTATCTTTGGAGACTTCTCAGCAGCATTCACCAAGCCTCACCTTGTCCCTCTCCTCTTCTTTTTGGCTATTTATCTTCCTTTGTCTTTCTTACACCATCTGATCCTCCCTCTGTCTTCTCTCTCTTTTCTGAGTTAATAAAGTTTGGAGTTACCTGAGGTCCCATCCTCAGAGATGTCTCCTCTGAGTCCCATACCTGGGTGTCAACTGCCTTCCTGACATCTCCTCTTAGATATCTCATAGGTCCTAAAACTCAACAAGTCCAAAACCAAACCATCTCTTCTTCCTATCTCGATAATTGGCACTTCCATCCATTCATCAAAGCAAACCAGAAATCAGGAGTCATTCATCAGACAGTAATTCCCGCCGCTGACCTTCAGTCCTGTATCCAACCCATCACAAAAGGCTGTCAGTTCCCAGGTATCTTTCTGCCTGCTCCAGTTCTCTTCACCTCTGCTACACCCACCTTTCTTGGACTTTGGCAATGGACTTTCACCTCCATCCTGTCATCTCCCCTTGTACTCCCTGACCCTTCTCCCTATCACACTCAGAGTAACCTCATCAGAATCTCAAAACTCACCCTTTATATCTCCCCGTCCTCCCAACATGGATTCCACTGCCCTGTTATGAAAATAAGAATCCATACTTTGGAGCATGGATGACTCACGTATTTTGTCTCTCCCTCTCATGGGTCTGTGCCTTTCACTATAGCACCTCTGCCCAGACCTGAAATCCTTTCCTTTACTCATTCCTCTTGGCTTAATATGGACTCATTCTTGGGGTTTCTGCTTAACAATTCTGCAGGGATGCCTTCCCTGAAAGAGCAGTTGCCTCTACCCCGTGGTTTTCTGTGTGATTATGGTACGCAGCCCTTGTTCCTGTCTTAATGTCACATTAATTGGAGACTAGGGAATTAGGAACTGGCTTCTTCACAGCCAAGGATGGTGTCTGGTGTTGCTCCTTCCAAGCCCCGTTGATGGTGCCTTGGAAGACGTGGGGTAAGAGAGCAACTGTGACGGTGTCACCAAGCAGCAGGTATGTGTGTCCAGCATAAGGGGTCCTACGGTTCAGTCTCCTGACAGTGAGCCAAACTGTGAAGTTCCATCTCTACAGAAATAAAATCTTCTCAAGGGAAGGAATTCTCTCCAAAAGGAAACCATTTCAGTGTTCACGGTGCTGGAATAATTCTAACGCATGGCATTCCACAGGGACTCGCCATAGCAGGAGCTCACAAATCTCCACCACCTGGTGTCAGGCAGAGAGCAGGGGTGGGCTGGGCCAGACCCAGGCCAGCTCAGATGCCTTGTTCTCACCTGTGAGTGTAAGGAAAGAGGACCCCCAAAACAGATGGGATCCCAAACACAGGAAAGGAGTCACCTTGAATGACTCTCAGTGTGGTGTACAATGAAAGCCACCCTATGCCAACTGCTGCAGTCAAGTAATGGAGGTGCCATGTGGACATGGGGTCACATGGACAGTTTTCTGGGATTCATGTTTTAGCTACACCCATGAAGTGGTGGGGAAAAAAAATCATACTCTATTTAATTACTTTGGAATATAAGTTACGAAGCCTTTAAGCCAAAGTGTAAAATGAGTAAAATAAAAGGTGTTGCTACACTATATATTCCACCACTCAAGCAAACAAAAGTCTATATATATATACACGTAAACACACACACTCTCACACACACAACCTCAAACAAACAAAAACCCACAACTACAAGTAATAAATCTACCATCTCTCTCTACCAATCACCGTCACCAAGGATATGGTTATTCTTTTGCATTTGAGACCTTCCAAAGTAAATCAACAATCAGATAACAAATGTGTGTTAAGTCGATGATAAATATAGTCATCATACGTTTGAAGCCATTGGAAGTATTGATTTCCATTCCATCATGGGGGGTAAAGCATTTTAATTATGTATATTAAATAATAATAAAAATGTATGTAACAAAATGCTAAAAAACATAATTACCATTTTGCTTTTAAGAAAAATWTGTAAACTTTACTATGAAAATACTTAAATTGGGCCACAGATAAATTAATTACTTACAAACTTTTTATGTCTAAGTTCTTACAAGGTAAGTTAAACAATAGGGTAAAAGCATATTTTGGTAACTAATACCACACTTCAAAAAAAAATCCTCTCAAATAGAGACAAATAAGAAAGTGTGTTTTCTTAAGGTAATTTCTAATAATTATATATATGCATTTTATGTAGTTTTTTCATTTATCTAAGACATCTCAGTGTCCCAAAGTGACATTAATATGTGTTTGAAGTATTTCTGAGGAAAGAACGCTGTTCTGTGAACTGACCCCTTATATGGTATGTAGGTTTCTCCCTGATCTGTTACAGATCAGGGAAAAAAAAAAAAAAAAAAAAAATATATATATATATATATATATATATATATTTAAATTTACTTACTTTTTGGCCAATTACCACTGCAGTTTGCAGTTGGCAAAAACTATTTCATGAAGAACAAAGAAAAAAATTTTAAATGTTTTTATCTTAAACTACTTTTTTAATGTTCCACCTCCTTTGAAAATGAACCAGTCAGTAGTTACCTGGTTGCTTTCTCTGACTTGCATTATTTGAAATACAGTACGTTAGCTCATGATTGGGTTTCTAGATGTCTGTCGGAAGCACAAGYGCTTCATTGTCTCCCTTGGGTGATAGTAGAATTCTGGGAAAGAAGCCTGAGGTAGGCGGTAGGAGGTCAGTCTGTGCAAGTCCCTTCTCCAAGCACCAAAGAGGCTTACCTCTCGCAGAACGTGTGCAGACAGGGGAGAACCTTGGGGTTCTTGTACCGTTCCAGGCATATACTGCAAATCAGAAACTGCTTGTCAATCTGGCGCACCACAGGACTTGGGATGTTGGAGGCTTCACTGGCCATCCTAGACCACTGACATGGGAGGCCGGCTGTCTTTGACCCTGCACGCTGCTGCTGTCAGACAGAAAAACCAAAATGGAAAAATATATAATCATCCATAGTGCAAATCAACCCCTGGCTCTTTTACCCAAGGCAGCAAGATATACACAGGTGGAAGTCAGTTAGTGACCTCAAAATGACCATAGCCAGCCCTCATGGCTGTTGTTTGTTTTGTATATGCTTGTTGGGTTTCAAGGCTGAGCGGTGGCCAAGGGAATAAAAACTTATAGATAGCTGTCTGTTCACACCTTCAGCCATAACTATATTTGAATACATATTTGCCTTTTTCTATTCTTATCTAATTCAATGTCTCCCCAACTATTGTATTTAAAGGGAACAGAATATGCTTATGCAAAATGTGCCACTTTGGTGTAAGGATTATTTTGAACTTTTGTGTCTCAGCAGACACAAAAGGAGCTCTCTGTCTTCCCCCATTTGCCTAAAACTGTCATAAAATTCCTTTGTGAAGAGGAAATGTCCATTTGTGAAGGTGCTCCTCTCCTATGCCAGAAAGACCAGAAGACTCTTATCTCTGGAGATGGCAAGGTGATGAGCCTGTTTAACCAAACTAAACAAATCTTAAAATGTAGACATYGTACATTTTCCAGTCACCTTTCTGCAATTTACTGCCCTTTGCAGTCCAGCCCTGCCTTGCCTTTGTAGACAGCTCTCCACAATTTATCACCTGTTGTTAAAATGGTATATAAAYCCCCAATTCTAATGACTTCCTTGGGTTTTCATTTCTTCTCTACGAAGCTTCCATATGTAAAATCAAAAACATTAATATTTACACAATTTGTATATGTTTTCTACTATTAGTCTTTTACCACTTTAATTTACAGGCCCCAGGCAGATAACCTAAGAGAGCAGAAGAAAAAATTTTCTTCCACTACAAATGATTAATATGCAAGATAGAGAAAAGATGAGCTGTGGCTGGGGCTCAGTGGCAAAGTGCTTGCCTCACATGTGTGAGGCACTGGGTTCAATCCTCAGCACCACATAAAAATAAGTGAAATAAAGGTATTGTGTCATTAAAGAGAGAGAGAGAGAGAGAGAGAGAGAGAGAGAGAGAGAGAGAGAGAGAGGGAGGGAGGGAGAGAGAAGATGACATTGCCCCAAGAGCCAAAAATAAATAGGAATTGGGGGGAAAAATGCTAAATGGAGATTATTAGAATTTTGAATTAAAAATTTCATATATAGTGTTTTCCTAAGAACTAAAGGTTTATAGATTGAAAATTAAAATGTTTCTGCCATGAAGCCAGGTGAAAAAGCTGGAGTTAGCCCCTGTAGTTTGAAAGAAATATCAATGGGTATTCATGTGTGTGCATTTGAAGGACATGGAGAAGTGAGTGAATTCAGAGGAGGTTGCAATATGTCAGAGATCACACCAGAAAAGAAGAAATTAGGAGAGAACACTGAGAAGAAAGCAGAGAGCCCAAGAGTGCAAAAAGGAGGAGAAGTTATAATACAAAACACCTATCCATTTACCACTTCAGGTGTTTACCCCAAAGGGGTAAACCAGGGATGAACTAAAATTCACTTCTCAATTTTTCTAAATATTTGATAAGTTGTCCCCAGCCCTATATATAATTCCCAATGSAAATACTCTCCGCCCCTTCCCCTAAAAAGGGATATTTAATATAATTATCGTAGGAAGTGCTATTATTATTCTCACTCTATAGATAAAACCATACATGCATACACACAAGGACACAAAACAGCACAAGCCAGGTATGGTGGCTCACACCTGTAATCCCAGCAGCTGGGGAGGCTGAGACAAAAGGATCACGAGTTCAAAGCCAGCCTCAGCGAAAAGCAAGKTGCTCAGCAATTCAGTGAGACCCTGTCTCTAAATAAAATACACAATAGGGCTGGGGATGGGGCTCTGTGGTGGAGTGCCCCGAGTTCAATCCCTGGTACCCCTCCTCACCAAAAAAAMCCCACATACAACAACACAGGCTCAGTCAAGTTCACCTGCATGTGACATGCAAACTGAAGAGAGATGTATGCTTCTAAAACCCATGGCCTCTTCACTCCCTAAACCTCTACCACCACCACCTTGACCTTGTTTCATGAAGACTGTACAACAGAAGCTTGGTTTATATATGAYACTTGAACTTGACCTGTGACCAGCATTTGAAGCTGGTAAATACTGAAAAACCAGCCCCTACCTCAGAGCAAAGCTGTCCAAGGAAGGGGGCATGACTCTTGTCCTTGGAAAAACCCACAGAGCACTCCTAGGCACATACCCACCCTGCTGAGTTGTTTATCTACAAATAACAGGAGAGATCTGCTGCGCCAGGTGTCCCTGACTCAGTCAGGCTAGGTGRGGACCCATAGCAACCCCCTAGCAGCCACCAATCAGCATGAGACAGGGAAATACCCGGGATGCCAGATGAACCTCCCAGTAGTTTATGGTGTTGGGAAAGTATGTAGTTCAGCWCGAACACCCCTCTTGGCTTAAACCAATCAGTTCAAATGAATCCCCTTCTTGTAGTAACCAATCACCCCTACCCAACTTGCCAGTGAATGTGCTAATCATGTTTTAGAGTTGTTTGATTTTCCCGMGGTGTGTGATGATTTATTTGGTAAGAGATGCTATGATGTATGTGAAGTCCCTGCCTTCCCCAAAGAGTGTATGAAACTGCTGCAAACCCTGGGCTCGGGGCCTCTCAGCGTCACCAGTTGCTGTGTGTGCGCGCGCGCGGAGGACCAAGCTCGCAATAAACACCTCTTTGCTGYTTACATCGATCATGGTCTCTGGCGGTCTTTTGGGGGTCCCGAATTCGAGCATAACAATACAACATAATTACAAAGTCAACAATTTGACACTCTTTTCCAGATGTAAATGATAGCTTTCCTTACTCCCCAACAAATCACCAAATTTTTGAAAGGTATTTCAACTTTCAGTAAGAAAATTCCATTGGGATATATGTGAATACAGTCACATAGGTGACACACCCATTTCCAAACTCCACACTTTGCAGACAGGTTCATCAAAGAGCATGATCAATAAACATATAGCACCTTGGGAAACACCTGCTATCCAAGAGCGTCGGTTCAGACAGAAGTCGGTGCACAGTTAAGCAGTGTAGGTGTGAATGTCTAATTAGCCAGCATCACCAGCTAGGCTTCTCATAGCCTGCCTCCCTAAAGAACCAGAGTAGAGAATGATATTCACTGACTAAATGCAATGGAGCTACAATGTTGGTGCACTGTCTGCTTTTTTTTTACCACATCCCTATGACTTCAGAAAGGAAAGAATTTGTCTATCTTAAAGATAAGAAAACCAAACCTGAGGGCTTAAATGACTTGCCCAAGGTCATCCAGTAAAATCAGTAATCAGAAAGCTCAGATTTCAAGTTTTCTGCCTTATCAGAGAAGTTGATGAAATCTAACCTTAAACAAGTTTAGGGTTGGGAACGTAGCTCTGAGGTAGAAGCTCGCCTATCAAGTGCAAGGACCTGGGTTCCATCCCCAGCACCACAAACCAAAAAAGTTTCACATTTCACAAGTGTGGAGGACATAAAAATGATAGAGTGCTCACCTCAGCAACACTAAAATTTGAATGACATAGAAAAAAATTGGCATAGCCCCTGCACAAGGATGGCACAAATATTCATATATTTTAAAAAATGATATTGAGGGATGGGCAYGGTGGCATACACCTGGATTCACAGTTACTTAGGAGGCTGGGGTGGGAGGATCCTAAGTTTGAGTCCAGCCTTGGCCATTTACCAAGACCCTGTCTCAAAATAAAAAATAAAAAGTATTGGGTATAGCCTCCTGGTAGCGCATCCCTGGGTTCAATGCCTATTACTAGAGAATGAGGAGGAGAAAGACAGGCCAGGTGGCACATGCCTATCGTCCCACTTACTCAAGAGGCTGAGGCACGAGGATCGAAATTCAAAGCCAGTCTGAGCAACTTAGAGAGGTTATAAGCAATTTAGTGAGACGCTGTCTCAAAATTTTAAAAAAGGACTAGGGATGTGGCTCAGTGGTTGAACACCCCTGGCTTCAATCCCTGGTACAATGAAGGGAAAAAAAAAAAAA